GAATTTTTCTCCTATTCAACATTTATCTCGGTATTCCACCTCCTCTTGATTCCTTTTCCGAGACATCTTCTCATCAGCGTCCACGTTTACCCAGCTGATGCTAGAAAACCACACATGTATTGAGATGGATCGAAAGATGTTATATAATCGAGATCTTCAGTAATACTCATTGTTGAGTCCTGTTTGCATCCACTTAGTCTTTCATACGTACTTGTTTCGAGTCTTCACTCATGGACCTATTTCGTTCGAGGTGTTCCTGGATACCTCCTTGTTCGTACTTTTTTGAAGTCTAATTATCTATTTCTGCAACAATTTTTGTTCGACTTTTCTGTTTCTCCGTTTTCCGTTTTTTCTGACTTTTCTGTATTTCTGACTTTGACTTTTCTGTTACCATGTTTTGTTTCACATTGTCTTCCAAAAACACATACGCACGCACATGAGGAAATTCGATGAAAAAGAATTTCTATCAGCATAAATTTTAGAATTTTTATGAGGAAAAAGAAAAAACACAAATATCGACACAAACTACACTTCACCAATGCACGGACGATCTTTCAGTTCCATGGAGCGACCAAAGTCCCTAAATTGTTTGCTCTGGCACGAGACGGATGCTCCTTATTATTTCTCTCAGCACAGACTTCTGGTCCATCTCACAAAGCTTATTTCTCCTCTTCCATATCGGCCCTTTCCTCAAGAAGCTTAGTGTCTCAACACTCTGTGTACTCAATTTTGTGGCATCACCGGCAAGTTTTTTAAGCAAAAAAGTTTTTACCTTAGAATCACGAATTGTTTTCAACAGTACCTTAGGGAATTCAATAATTTCAACACCATCCGATACTCGCCGAGTTTGGTTGCTGGCATCGACCTCATCCCAGCCTGTTCGTACCTTCACCTTCAAGCAATGAAAATTTTTAGTTACTTTTGAAAATAACCAGTGTTGAAATCAATAATTACTGCTTTTGTACAATAAATAAAAATTTTCCTGTGCGCTACCATACTCCAAAATCCGAAAAGAGGCACCTTTTAAATTTTAAGATTCTCAAAATTCTATTGAAAAGACACACTTTGTAATTTCAGAATTTTACTTCAAACACTGCTCTCTGCACAAACAGCAGTCCACTGCACAAAAAAGCAAGATTACCTGTCGATTTTCGATCAGTTTCCCGGCCAGAATATTATCAA